TCGGCTGGGCAGCGTTCGGGAAATTACGGCACATCTCGTCAGGTATACCTCAAAACTTGAAAATGAGACTGTACAATCAGTGCGTGTTGCCAGTGATGACTTGTAGAACTGAGACGTGGACCTTCACTGCTGGCCAGATGAGGAAGCTCAAGGTCGCTCAGCGAGCTATGGAGAGGGCTATGCTCGGAGTTTCTCTGCGTGATAAACATAGAAATGAGGATATCCGCAGTAGAACCAGAGTGACCGACATAGCCCAACGGATTAGTAAGCTGAAGTGGCAATGGGCCAGCCCTATAGCTCGAAGATCCGACAACCGAAGGGGAAAACGGTTCTCGAGTAACGGCTTCGCACAGACGAATGAAGTGTAGTGCGTCCCCTCACTAGATGGAGTGACGACCTGGTAAGACATGCAGGAAGTCGATGGATGCAGGTGGCTCAGGACCGTGCTTTGTGGTATTCCTTGGGAGAGGCCTATGTTCAGCAGTGGACTTGTAAAGGGCTCTAATGATGATGATGAAGTATGTTTAGCATTTTTTATTTTATTTGGGGGGTGCTTGATAAGAAAACCGCCCTGGGTGCCAACTCACGCTACGCCGCCACTGGCGCTCGCAGTAATTTGGTATCTTTTTTTATGTGTGTAATAACATTAAGTTACGTTACAATTTCTAGTGGCCCCAAAAACAATTGTCTTCCCTCGTTCTCGGAAATTGCGGCCGAAGGCGGCAGGAGGCCTGTCTCTTTACTTTTTTTACTTTATACGGAAATTATATATAGTGAATGAAAAGTATATTTAATATAAAACTACATTCATATGTTGTTATTCTTATGTTTTAGTATGTTATAATTTGCTGGATCGACCATTTATTTATTTGCTATAAAATTAGTTAAGTTCATCATCCAGAATTTTCATTATAGCCTATCAAAAGTCCACTGCCGAACGTACACCGCCCTATAGATTTCCTTGTAAGAGGGATGTTTGCCATAGTTCCCACGCTTGGCAGGCGTGTAGAGAACCGCATTTTTTATAATTTCTAGTTATCACGCTGCTGCCATCCCCTGGTTTCTTTTCCTCTGTAGCCACTGGTAGCCACTTACGACACCCACGGGTTGATATGGGATAGTGCTTATCACAGAATACTTTTACTCCTGATGCTCATTCTTACAAATCTAACTACACGGTATATTGGAACTAGTGTTGCCAGGTGTCCCGATTTGTGCGGGACATCCCGATTTTCCGGGGTCTGGTGACACGTCGGGACGTTATTCATTCTTGATCGGGACGCCAAATGTCCCGATTTTTAACTAACCTCCTTAGTCTGTACTTCGATCGATAATTTTGACTATTATTGATAATTTGACTACATTAAAGTATATTTTGCTTTGACATTCAAATATTTTCTTACCGAACTCGAATAAATAGTCTACATGAAAGTTTTAAACTGCGTGTTTTGTGTTGGCGGGATACAGATACCATTCATGCTACCTCGTTTTTTTTTCACTCGCGCCTGATGCCGCCCTTTAGAAATTAGATCTAGGCTTTGAGGTAAAAATTTGATTATAAATAAATTTCTGCTTTTTTTTTGGGTTTTTTAAGAGCAAAAAATAAATCGTTCAACAAGTCCTGATTCGCCGGAAAAATAAAACACACACCGACGAATGTGCAGTTTTTCCGATATTAGGACGAAAAATTTGTTGTTCATTAGATCAATCTGAATTTCGGTCACGGCGTTCAGCCTCAAAGTAGACTAGCCATCAGCACAGGACAGGATTATAGTGCCCAAGTGTATGCGCGAGACAAGGTGGTGAGACACCGCCAACTTCGGACCCGGGCAGATACTGAAGAAAAACTCAATAACTGATTTGTTTTGAGACAACTCGGGATTAAAACCCTGAGACCTCATGATCAACAGTCGTATTTACAACCACTAGACCAACGAGGCAGTCCCAAATAATAATTTATAGAGCACATTGCGCATTATGTCGAAAAGACTAATATAACTCGTGGCGGCCAAAATGGCTACAAAAAACCTATTTTTTGTATTTACCCGAAATTTAACTAAATTTACACTGGACCTGGCAACACTAATTGGAACACATTCATAAGAAATATTGAAGCAAGAAGGGCTAATAATTTTCTGCTCACCAGATGTTGCTAGTTGACACTGAAGTAAAGTTTTTTGTTACACAATGTAATTTAATTGAGAAGTTGTTTTTAATAAAAGTTTATCAGTTTCTAGATTATTATATTAATACACAAAACAATACGTCAGTGGTTTGCTCTTTCATTTTTTGCACATTTTAAACTTTTTTTTTAATTTTTCTATTTGTACGAATATCTTTGGTTTGGTTTATTTATTTTTAATGTTATTAATATAAAATATAGCTAATAGTACAGAAAGAAACAATAACTTTTACATTTTCCGTACAAATTAACTTCCCCGCTATGAAATCAGTCAAATATGACTTTCTAGTGGCGCCGCCCTGGTGGTAGAAAAAGTCATGGATACCCTCAGTGTCAGTGCTATACAATAACCATAGTATCGAGACCGTTGCGCTGCTGAGACAAATTGCTAAAAATAGATAAGAATAAAATAAAATTGTATTAAATAGGTGTTACTGTTTAATTATGATAGTAAAAAATATTCATATTATGTTATACATATTTTACAAAGCCTTAATTTAAATAAAATAATCATATAGTATTTTGCATAATACATAATTTTATTAGGTATTAATATTATTATTGTTGAAATATAAGAGACTGATTTATCTGTTTTAATTTTAGAATACATAGAATAACATCAGTGTTTATCAGCTTAGGCAGAATCGTCATTTTTGTACAGAAAAACGTGAATAATGATTTTATTTATCCATGCTACTCTATCTTGATACATCACCATTTATCGTGAACAGCGACTTTAAAAAGCATATTTTTTAATAATTTCTTTGAGAATATGCACTATTAAGGGCTGATTTTTCATGCGTTATCCATCAAATAAATTATAACCTGACTGAACTGAATATAATAAATTCATTACGTTGGCTTTTTGTATGTGTCTGTGTGCAAACAAACCATAAATAAATAAATACAAAGGTAAAATAATAGAACTAGCAATTCATCATACAATTGTCATTTTTAGTTTGATTGATATATTATTTTATCCTACTACCTGCATCCCCAACCCCGAGATAACCGTTGGCATCAGTCTGGCGTTCGATAGCTACCCGACCTGGTGCGAGGTCGGTACACGCATGCACACGTCCACATGCACGCACACAAACCTTAATCCTCTATCTGGTGATTGAAAAATCGGCCCACAATAATCATATTGAATTTTATTGTCTTATTACAAATTTCATGTTACATTATCTTAAAGTATTAAATTATTATCTAAAAATTATGTAATTAATGTAAAAAATAAAAATGATAAAATAAATTTTAATTTGAAATAAGTATGTACCATTAAAGTGAAATATTATGAATATAATCTTGTTTTATTTTCATAGTATTGTATTTTCCAAGCTCTATGCTTTATAGCATATTACGTATCATGAACATAGAAAAAAAAAAGTATTTGTTTGTCTATTTACATTTTTAAATAGTTTAAAAACATTTTTACATAAATACTAATTGAAAAAAATACATATGTATGTATAACTTATTTGACCTGGCTAATCCACCTCAATGTGAACAATTGTATCATAGATTAATGTATAATATACACTAGAGAAATTGTATTAAACTAGTGAGCAGCACAGACTACTAAGCGGATACAGAAATGCGCGCGTGTTGTAGCTGTACTGTTCATACCTTCATATATTGAGCGCTGGCGCTGGCAGAATAACAGCGTTATAGGTAAACTGCGACATTTAAGCTTCGGCCAAACTGAGGCGAATCCCGCGCGGGACTCGGTAGGCGAATCTGCGCTATTCGCTCACTCACTTATCCTCCCAAACTGAATCAACCAAAGGTGAATCCCGCACGTCATTATTTTTGGTTTCTAGATAGGAAAACATGTCTCTTGATATTGAAGCTGAGGTTTTGTTGCTATTAGCATTAACTGAAGAAGAACCTCCAGATGTTTTTTATAGGATAAGGATGACAAGCAAGCACACAGTCCACCTGATGGTAGGTGGTTGCTGCGGCCCATAGACAGCTACATCTATCCTCGTTTGTGAATCAAAATGCAGATGAGTTGTCATCCGAGAGGACTATGATGGAATGTCTCCTTTTCCAGTAAAAAGGGTCTCCGGTTCTCTACACTCACCAAACGAAACACATTCATAATACAACTATACAATTAATATAGCTATAGCATGGCTCTACCACGTAAAATTCTGTGAGAGCGTGGTCCTCCCCTGTCAGGCCGACCCATTCGAGGTACAACTATACCACTAATATAGCTGCAGCGTGGCTCTACCACGTTCAACGATAAGTGAGGAAGAAAAGAAGAAGATGTTTCATGAGCTGAATACTTAACGCATACAATTTGGAGTTTCACACTTTTACCCACATTACGAAAAATAAAAAAAAAATTATACCTATTTTCGTGTGCCCAAAGAATGGTATAACGAAGTTTTATAAATAATCGAACAAAATATATTTCTTCCGATTACTTTTATAGCCTTCGTGACTGAGGTCGTATAGAATCTTGTTTTTATTACTTTTGGTAAAAATAATTTAAGGTTTCGAAAAATCAGGCACTATCCCGCGTATATTTCGCTGCAGCACTTGCGACTATTTGCGCCAATGTGAACGCCTCCATACAAATTAGCTGACGAAATCGGCGCGAGCGAATCGCGTCCCGTTTCCCGCGCGGGAATCGCCTCAGTTTGAACGAAGCCTTATGCCGAGCTATAGAAGCCCATTCATTACTACACTATGAATGTAATTTTGGTTATTTAAACTCATTGTAATTTTATTGGTGGTAATGAATAAATGTTTATAATAATTATTATTAAATACAACAATTAACATTATCTAAAATATCACGTAACAATCATTTTTTGTGTTGGTCTAAAGTACTGTCCGGTTGTTCATGTCCTAAAGAAGCCGCTTTGTGTAACTGATACAATTGTACAAGCTGATCTTCTGTCATATAATCTAGTAATGTAGGGTCAAGGTATTCACCAACAGTTTTCTTTTTGGCCTGTTGCAGTGGCTTCATCTGCTTTGCTAAATTAATTGCATAATTCTGTAAAGAATATAATATTTATTTTAATAAAATACTATAAGATAATATTCCTTTTAGCCTAGTAAATCTTATATTGTTTCTCATCATTTCTCCCTTCATTGGGTATATCCATTAAAAAATTCCTAAGCTACACATAGATGATGAAGAAAAACAATATTAGCATAAGGGTACTTCTAACTTTATGCTCTAACCAACCTACACAATCAACGTCATCATCATCATTACAGCAAAACTATATTGCTGAACATAGCTCTCCCCATATGTTGCCTCATAGTAGAATTTTTGGTATAGTTGTCATGCTTGGCAACCATAGCTTTTTATTACTTTCAATTATCAGCAAGATGCTGCTTCCCTATCTCCCGTTTCATTTCTGACTGTCGCCTCTAACAACACACTTGAGATAATAATATGAGGTAGTGGATTCTCTTACACCACTCTGCTCAGTGCTCAGTGTGATGAGACAATATTTTCAAAGCTGTATGCAACTGTGCAGCTTCATAGGCCTTAGCAAAATATACAGAGGGTCTAAGGCGCTGAGGAAAAGTACTTTAACAAATATACTTTATTAAAAACTATGCTTCACCTTCATTATTTAAATAAGGTATGATATTTCAATTATCAGATAAGTTATACATTGAATAATTTATTACCTGAGTGAACATAAAAGTGAAACAATTGAACTGTTTCGCAACCGACTTCAAAAAGGTGGAGGTTTTCAATTCGTCAAAATCTTATTTAATGTATGTTCACCGATTATACTAATACACCTAAACCGATTTCGATGATTCTTTTTTATTTGAAAGCTGGTGCTTTTCTTGTGGTCCCATATAAATTTCATCAAGGTCTAACCTTAATAATTTCTATTGAAGATGGTTGTACAAAATTTTTAATTTCACCATTTGTACTAATACAACTGTATTTTTTTATTTCTTTAAGTTGTATTATATCCTATGAATAAATTTTATCATGAGCATTAAAAAATCGGCCCTTTACAGCATCAAGTATCAATTACAAAATAATAAAAAGCTTAATAATGGTCTAAACAAAAGTTATAGAGCTCTTGTTCTTGCCCTTGAACCAGATCACTCAATGTTGCATTGTTTGGGGAGTTACAATATGACAGTATTTCTTACAGCAATATGGTGTGGTAACCTCGCACAGTTGTTAACTGTAAGTGGTTTTCATTTTGGACTGTATGGTACATGACCTGTAGCTAGATTATATACTCTACGACTCGAAATAGTTGTTGGCTTTGTATAGATATTTAAAAACTGCATTGTATTTAGTATTTTTTATAAATAAAATTAGTGTGACTAACGAACTTACAGTACACCAGTTAGTATGTGGCTACTGCAGCCCATATACACCTACAACCAACTTCAAAACCAGAAGATAACAGATGCATTGTCACCTTTGAGAATGTAGATGGAATGCCCCACTGTGTGAAAGAATGTGCAGGGAACACAGTGGTCTCGAATGTCGAAATGCAGAATTGCAAAAACAAAGTACCAAATAAATTATCTAACAAAGCTTACCAGCTAACAAGGTACAAAGGTACCATCAGGTGGACTGTGTGATCGTTTGTCACTTCTTCTATAAAAAAAAACTATGTTACAGCCTTCAGCATTTGCCATCCGAATTGTACAAAACAAAAAAGGCTTATCATTTAAATGTTTATGTGCGTGTATGTCTGTGATATATAGAATGTATGTGTATAATATGTGCTATTGCTGCAGTATTTAGGCACTGAAAAATTTTAATTTATAAGATTTATCCCCTCAACAGTAAACGCCATTGCAGCTATCTAATACTGCCCGGGCCAAAGTTTTATATTTTACTAAATTCATGTTTTGTATTATATCGGAATAATGATGTGGTTTATACAAAAACTATAAAAAAACTTTTTTCTCACCTTAGTTTATCTATACAAATTGTGTGTTCACAATTCACGCAAAAACTACTGAGCAAATTTCCATGAAATTTGGTATGTAGGCAGTAAATGACCATGTATAACATATAGGTAACTTTTATCCGATTACGGAAGAGTAAAAAAAGCTTATGTTTTTCCTTTTCTTTAATGTCATTATGCCTGCTGATGGTTCTTTTAGTCCTGAAGAAGATTTAACTGTACATATAATAAATCTACAGAAAAGTGTGTGTGTGAAAATGAAACTCATCACACCACCAACAAGTAAGGGCAGAATAACATATACCGGGCCAGCTAGTATTATATTATTATAATAATATTAGTACTAAAAGCAAAGCAATAAACTTGTTTAAAAATGAGGGTACCCAATTTTCGTAAAAATGGGTATAATATTCGAAATATTAATTTCACAACAAAATGAATGAAAACGCACAAATCTAAGTTAAAGATAATTATTTATATTTCTCAATACACTGTTGTTTTTGGCTTAGCTTTCCATTGACGTCAGTCGAGTTTGGTGTTGATACGTATTTTTACAGAAAAGTTACACTATTATAAGCACTCACACAAAGTTTCAACATGCGGAAACGCGTAATTTTTGAGAAAAGAATTATTGAAAATCAATTATTATTGCATTGTTTATATCTAATCCTACCATACAACAAAACTGACGCCATTTTGTAATGTCACATTACAAAATGGCGTCAGTTAATGTCATTGTCGTCAGTAGGGATGTCGATTCTTTCCGAAAAAGGTCGATTTTTAAATCGATTGAAATCGTAAGCTGATGTATCGATTCACAAAAAGTCGATTTCTAAAATATCTATATTTTTTTATGTTTGCATTTATAATGTAAAAATATAATTCCATTTTATGAAAAACAAGAAACATACCATAATAAATGATCTCTTATTGAAATTTGTTTTATTTTAACAGTACCAATTAGGGCAGGTAACAAATAAAATAGGTTAGGTTCAACTTATGTCAAAGAACCGAATTGATTGACCCCGACTCCACCTGGTACGAGTCTGTCCTACCCCTAGAGTGGTTTTAAAGAGCCGGAGGCGCATAGGCGCCGAAGACGTAGCAGTCTCAAAATAGATACAGAAATCCTTCTGAATCAGTCCCCTTATTTTTTATGATGAAGGGGATTTTCTTCTCATAAAATGGATCTATATTTACATTATAAATGCAAACATGAAAAAAATATCGATATTTTAGAAATCGATTTTTTGGGAATCGATACATCAGCTTACAATTCGAATCTATTTAAAAAATCGATCTTTTTCGGAAAGAATCGCTACTAACAATAATAATAAAAATGGCGTCAGTTTCACGGTAGGAATTGACTAAATATTACAAAATTATTTGATTTACAATATTTTTTTCTCAATAAGTACGTGTTTCCGCATATTGAAACTTTGTGTGTGTGCTTATAAAAATGTAATCTTTCTGTAAAAATACGTATCAACACCAAACACGACTGACGTCAATGGAAAGTCTTTCCGTTGTTTTCAGCAAATAATAAATAAGAAAACACTAAATACGAGATAAATTGAACACGCACTGAATTGGGGTGATTTAATTGAAGATATCTGAAAACATCTTCAAATTCATCAACGAATTACAGATTAAAAATTATTTGTTATCTAGCTTTGTCTATCAACAAGCATTTCCATAAATATGGCGACACTTAATCATCATCCGCAGTGGCTGTATTTGTGTGTTTTGTGAGAGTGTCCACTCTGGCGTTGAGCCATCCTGGCTGTTTTTACCGTTCAACAGATGTAGGTATAACATATTTTACAAAAGCACAATCTGCGCAGATTATGCATGTATCTATAGTAACCTCCTGTACCAATGATTCTGCAGCATTATTCTGAATCATAACCTTTCCTTTGGCCCCGATACATACCCCATCACTAGTAATCCTAAGCGACTGTATTTGTGATTGTCTTTTTTATTTATGTGGTGTGTATAGTATCAGTGAATTAATGTTTTTCTTTCTTTATAATCATATCAAACAAAATCCCAGAAAACATACAAAATTTGACCTGCTCAACGTTCAAAAACTTTATTAAACTAAGTTTGTGTAAAAAAAGTTATTATAATATTAAGGAAAAATTTATGGATGATAATAACCTCTGTGATTGAGGTAATCGCTACCAAGCTATTTGTAATTTATAAATTAAAATAGCTTGGTTAATAAAGTCCTACTGGGTTTCTTGCTGGTTCTTTCCAGTACAGAGGTTTTTTTCCAAATTAGTAGTAATTAAACATAAGAGTGACTTTCAGTAAATATTATTTATAATCTGAATTGAATAAAAGTTTTTGTTTCAATATTCTAAGGCCATAGAGCAGTCATCTATGAATAGTTATTGCCAGTAATTAATTATGTTGCATGTAGTATAACATGGCATTAGTGGACACAGTAGACTTAAAATTTTCTTGTATTCTCAGAAATTGTGGAAAAATCGGTATTTCTTTAGTAATCTGCGGCATGAATATATGGTCGCCGAGTAGGCGAGGGAGGAGGGGGGAGTTGTAGAGTCACCTCCCACTTTAATTTCCTGCCGGATGTGCTTAGTCTAATCTCATTTTGAGGTTATGTTTCAGTAATGTTTTTGACAATATAAACCTGATTTGTGGGGGGAGAGAGTTGGGGGAGGGTAGCTCAACGTTACTCCACGTGGCGCAGTTGAGGGAGGCTCGGTTGACAGAGCCTATTTCTGAATGGTTTATAAAAAAATAACCATGAAGGGGATGGAGGGGTCTGTTCGCATGCTTTGCTCTCTCACTCGACCCCACCATCCACTTCTAACCTAACCTGTCCGAGTCGGGGTGCCCCAAATCCCAAGCTTGCTTCGCTCGCTCTAGCACCAAATAAAACACCAATATTTTAACTTTAATAATTACTTTAATAAATAAACATATTTTATTACTTCCACCTACCATCGCCAACTGTCAGCTGTCTGCTGGCTCAAGTTGCTGTCAAAATCTCCCAAGGGCTGCACAATGTGACGCATCAACATATTGTGAAGCAGTGAAATTCTATATATTCAAAATAAAAAAGACAAGGCTGTATGGCATAGTTCCTTTGCCTGCTCTCTCGAGCAAATAATAAAAACAACAACAACAACAAAAGTTCAGTTTCGAGTATTAATTAGTGAATTATGAATATTTTTAGAAAATAATTTTATTTTAATTTTAGCCCCCTTGACCTCCTCACAGTGACAGACTCTCCAATAATTATATTGTTATTACGTTTTCGTATCATTTTTAAATGGATATAACCTCAAAACTATAATTATCGATATCTCGAAAACTAAAGATTTCCGGCATAAAAAGCAGCTAGATGGTAATCAATAGCATCATTGCCTATCACCTAAAGCTAAAATGATCACTTAAATCGTGCCGCAGATTACTAAAGCCGCCTCGAAAAATCTTTACATTTCAGTATTATGGTAGAAGAACCCTATTATATATATATACTAGCTGTGCCCCGCGGTTTCAACTGTGTATATCACGCGTCTGCGCCTTGCGACATGCGAACTTCGAGAGAGACATCACGACGGACGGTTGCTGAATTAACAAAGATTTTAAAAGTGAAATATGTTACTAAAATTACATGGTTAACGTAATTGGTGGTTATGCATGATACAGGTACTGATACGAATAATGTCTAGGCCACATTATTCGTATCAGTACGTATTAGTATTATTTGTACCGGCGTTACTATTCCACATTTTAACATGAAAAAGTAGTTATTGTGACACAACTGTAATAGTTAAACATATGGTATCACAGACTTTTTTGTACATATTGATATCCTCTATAAAACTGAAGTACATTACTTTGCTCTATTATCAATAGTTTCCGCAGCGTACGCGATATAAGGATTCTTTTTGGTATTTTTTTCACACCTTGGGTTACGTTAACGGAGTTTTCATACGGATCCCTAACTTTTTGAAAATATTACATAGCCTATGTTCATCAGGGATAATGTAGGATTCTAATGGTGAAAGAATTGTTCAAATCGGTCGAGTAGTTTCGGAGCCTATTTAACTCAAACAGACAAACAAATCTTTCCTAAAGAGGAAAGATTTGTGTAATAGTAATAAAGAAAAGAAAGAAAAGAAAATATATATATATATATAAACTTACTGTCCACTCGTTTAGAAAAATGCAAGCTTCATCTGAATTACAATTTTTATGTCGTTTAAATTCGTCCCTAGCATAATTATCGCCTAGTATCCGTAATTCAGCTGGTAAACCTCGATGAACTCGTAATATAAGTTTATATAACCGACGAACTCTAAGTCCATGATCTGAAGTAAACATAATGATGCACTAATTCATATATTTGTTATTTTACCTTGCACTTCAAAACTAATAAAAAACCATGAATCCTAATATTTTGGCATGAATTTGTTACGAAACAACATTTTCAGTTCTCACCATAGACTATTGTTGTGCACAAAAGCAGAACGGTAGATAGAGGATTGAATCTATGGCACAGAACCCAATTACTCTCTACCGAGAGCTATTGTTTATGTTCCCATTCTCACACAATATAGCCTGCATAGATAAATAAATATGTAACAAGCTAGACTTGAGTAAAAAATATCGATATATCGATATAATAAATAAATATCTCTAAAATTTAATAATTTACTAATTATTTATTTTTATATCATAGTTTTATTTGCCGTGTAGTGGCGGTCAAGAATATCCACTACCCCATATCTTCCCGTGGGTGTCGTAAAAGGCGACAAAGGGAAACAGGCAGGAGATGGGCAGCAGCATCTACCTGATAATAGCCAAAATTACAATAAAAAAACTGCGGTTGCCAACCCGCTCGCCAAGCGTGGCAATTAAGGCAAATACCCCCCTATGAAGAGAGTAACAAGGAGACGGCCCCAGTCCTCGGCGGCCCCGCTATTCCGGGCTACGGTGGCGACCATTGTAACGGCGGGGCAGGGGGTGCTAAGAATCTCCGGTGGAGGTTCGGTTGCCACCTTAGACGACTGGACCTGGCAACGTACAACGCACGCACCCTGCGGACGAGACGAGAAGATGGAGCTGGAAGAAGAGATAGACATGTTACGCTGGCATATTATAGGATTATCCGAGGTCCGAAGAGAGGGGGAGGACACGGTAATCCTTGAATTCGGCAACTTACTCTATCACCGGGACCATCTGTTCCAAGGAGGTGTCGGATTTATCGTCCACAAGTCTCTCGTTAACAACGTTGTAAAGATTGGGACTATGTCACGAGGATTGCGTACCTTATACTCAGAATCACCCAAACGGTATTCGCTGAAGGTCATACAGGTTTACGCGCCAACCTCGGCACACCCCGATGAGGAGGTGGAGGAAATGTATGAGGATATCTCTAGAGCCATGCATTCCTCCAAAACCCAATATACGGTGTTAATGGGAGACTTCAATGCAAAACTAGGCACAAGAGAGAACGGTGAGTTGAAAGTAGGTAAATTTGGAATAGGGCAACGGAAACCAAGGGGCCAGCAGCTGGGCGTCTTCATGGAGAAAGAGGGACTCTTTATGATGAACTCTTTCTTCCAGAAGCGGCCCCACAGGAAGTGGACCTGGTTGAGCCCCGACTGTTCGACAAAAAATGAGATTGACTTCATTATGACGACCAGACGACAACTGTTCAGTGATGTCTCCGTGATCGCGAGGGTGAAAACTGGTAGCGATCACCGAATGGTTAGAGGCACACTGAACCTAAACGTTAAGTTGAAGAGGTCTCGTTTAATGAAGTCAAAGCTCCGTCCCCCTCGTGCTCTGTTCCAAAGTCCTGAAACCTTTCAGCTCGATTTACAAAACCGTTTTCAGTGCCTAGAAGACTGCAATGAAGTGGTCGATATGAATGACAAGCTCGTGGAAACTTTCCATGCGGTCGGAGCTAAGTTCTGCAAGACCCGCCGCAGAAGAACACAAAAACTCTCCGATCACACTCTTAATCTCATGGCTGTTAGAAGCGAGATGAAGCTACATTCTTCAACAGATTTGACAGCATACAGGCAACTGAACAGACAGATCCACAAATGCATGCGGTGGGGCTTACGCAACTTCAATACAGCTTATATTGAAGAAGCGATCGAGCGGAACCGAGGCTACAAAGTCTTTGCCAGAGATCTGTCTGCCAGAAAGAGCCAACTGGCGCGATGGAATTACAGCGGAGCTTCTGAAAGCGGGTGGAAAAACGGTACTGGAAGTCCTTCAGAGGCTCTTTAATTCCGTCCTTCATGGTGGCATTACACCGGAGGCGTGGAGCAGAAGTGCGGTGGTCTTGTTCTTCAAGAAAGGTGACAACGGTCTCTTGAAGAACTACAGACCGATTTCCCTTCTGAGCCGCGACTACGTGCTGTTTTCGAGAATCATTACGAATCCTCTCGCACGCAGACTTGATGACTTCCAGCCTCCCAAACAAGCCAGTTTCCGAAAGGGCTTTAGCACCATAGACCACATACACACCCTTCGGCAAATTGTACAGAAGTCCGAGTAGTACAATTTGCTACTATGCCTGGCGTATGTGGACTATCAGAAAACCTTTGATTCCGTCGAAATTTGGGAGGTGCTGCAGTCCCTTCAGCAGTGCCAAGTTGATAGTCGGTATATCAAAGTGCTGAAGTGTTTGTACAGTAGGGCTACGATGGCTATCCGAGTACAGAACCAGAGTACGAAACCTATCCAATTGCAGAGAGGTGTAAGACAGGGTGACGTTATATCCCCAAAACTCTTCACCGCTGCATTGAAAGACGTTTTCAAGCTTCTAGACTGGAAAGGATACGGTATTAACGTCAATGGCGAGTACATCACTCACCTTCGATTTGCCGACGATATAGTCCTTATGGCAGAATCGCTGGAAGACCTAAGCACTATGCTCAATGACCTCAATAGTGTCTCCCAACGGATAGGTCTTAAGATGAACATGGACAAAACAAAGCTTATGTTTAATGTCCATGTCACACCTATGCCGGTAGTTATTGGGAGCACTAAGCTAGAAGTTGTTGACGAGTATGTTTACCTGAGACAAATAGTCCGAACTAGGTAAGTCCAACTTCGACCGAGAGGTCAATCGACGGATTCAACTCGGCTGGGCAGCGTTCGGGAAGCTACGACACACCTTCTCGTCAGACATACCTCAAAACCTAAAAACGAAATTGTACAACCAGTGCGTGTTGCCAGTAATGACTTACGGATCTGAGACGTGGTCCTTCACTGCTGGCCGTGTGAGGAAGCTCAAGGTCGCTCAGCGAGCTATGGATAGGGAGTTTCTCTGCGTGATAAACTTAGGAATGAGGATATCCGCAGTAGAACCAGAGTAACCGACCTAGCCCAACGGATTAGTAAGCTGAAGTGGCAGTGGGCCGGCCATATAGCTCGAAGAACCGACAACCGAAGGGGAAGAAAGGTTCTTGAGTGGCAGCCTCGTACCGGTAGGCGAAGTGTAAGTCGAACCCCCACGAGATGGAGTGACGACCTGGTAAGACATGCAGGAAGTAGATGGATGCAGGTGGCTCAGTACCGTGCTTTGTGGCATTCCTTGGGGGAGACCTATGTTCAGCAGTGGAGTTATGAAAGGCTGTAATGATGATGATAATGATATCATAGTTTTATTGTCATTGCAACCAATAAATCAAATCTAATAGTTTCCTTTCAGTGTTTCTTTTAATTAATTTAGAAAACTAAATTATTGTTACGAGCTTGGGGATCGAGACAATTAAACACTGTCGATTGAATTACCAAAATTGACACTTTAATTACACAACACTAATTACAATCTAAAACCACACTAATTATAAAACACAATTGTACTACTGATCACTTAAGTTTGTAGTTGTTTCGCTTCGAAGTATTCTCTTGTATCGCCAATTCAATACTGCCTCGGTCGTGGTTTATACCGGCCTTATATAGGGCCTCAGTTAGTTTCCAGAACCTTCTACTGTAGCGACATCTAGAATGTTCGAGTACATATCGGTCCCGAAATTTCTAGAAGGATCTTGACTCTCCTAGTTCTGCTACTCGACACTAGAAGGCGCTGGTGGTAACTAGTGTTGCCATGTACAACACATTAATAGTGGCGCGCAAAATTATCATAAGTTTTGAGCAATTACAATTACATGATTAAAATATACCTAAAAGCTATATCAGTCTAAAATTTGCTTTCACAGCGTCAAAACCATAATTATATCTATAAAACTTAACTGCCACTTATTCGTACATTTTTAAATGTGCAATGAGTGAATTCAAATTATCAAACTATTCTTAAATTGCTTTTAATCAGGGTTTAATTAAATTACCATATTTAATATTTGAGCAACAATTACTTTTGTAGATATCTAAAAATTAAAAGAACACAAAGGTAATTTATCCTTAATAACTAAAAACAGGCTAAAGGCCTTTTTACTTCTCTACCACATTCTTAGTCATTCTGTCAGCTTCTTTCTTGTATTAACTACTATAGAAGAGAAGTATCACGGATTTTTATCACTTAAAGCTAAACTCAGATTGAATCCATTCTTGGCCTTTTAAAAATGTGAGATCAAAATACCCTTAAATATAAAAATAATAAGAAGATTTGTACGTTCAGTCATCATAATTCTTTGTAAGATCAACCGCATCATCATCCACTGGCAAATTTTGCCAAAACACTCTTTTGTTTTCCGGCATGAGTGGCCCCAATTCCCTAATTATTTTCATTTTTCGTTCAGATGTAATACCTCTGAAATTAAAATTATGTTTGGGAGCTGATATTCTATTTTTTATATTCTTTACCCTTAAGAAATCCAGTGAATGTTCATCACCATCGAAATTTGTTTTATAAAAAAGCTCGTATTGATAACCTCTGTGAAAAGTAATTTGGCACATATCATTTAAATATGCCCGTGGATTGGAGTTTTGTAACTTGTACCCAGAATAGCAGTCTTCAAATTTATAAAAATTTATAAAATAGTTAGTGCTTAAAACAGCTTGATAAGTCTTCGAAATCATAAATTCTTTTTTTATTTTTCATAGCCATTTCTACTCTATGATGAAATTCATCGGCAGCCATAAATGTGTGACCAACTTGAGGATTTTTGAATGTAACAGTTTTAAATGAAGCTTCAGCTGAATTAATGAGAAATAACATATATGAAACAAGGGCCCAATTTTTATTCAGAGCAGCGCAATTATCTAGCCAAAGCACTAAGTGCTTCATGTCACGATTTTGTAAAAAAAATGCTCTAAAGCAACTTACTATGTCATCTTTCTTTCGATCTTTCTTTCGATATAGCTTCATGCCAAAGAGCCGAAAATATTTGAAAATTTAA